AATTATGAGAATTAAAGCCATTCGTCGTTACTTTCTCCAAAGATGATTAGTCAAACTTGCGATTCTCTAAGAGATGAGCTTTATTAACCATTATTATATATTGATTAGGATGTAGCCAGATTTCTTTTATTTATGGAAAATAATTAAGATTTTTACCCAAAACAACAATTTGAAAAATAATGATCTGTATTATAAATCACTATCAAAATATATGCTGCTTTTGAACGACATCTCCTACAATGAAGTCAGAATCCTGACAACGTCATTCTGTGTAATTTAGGAGTAATCGTGTCTTAAAAAGCGGCCTTAGTTCCTCCTGTCCTTTCAAATCTTATGTGTCAGACCTACTGAAATAGTCGCAGTTACCCCGATGTTCCATATTGCAAAGCTCTGTCTAAATATGAACTTTCCTCTACTGAAAATATCCACTCCTTGTCTAACTGTGAAACTTCTGCTTATTTGTTAAGACTCAACACAAGTGTCATCTCCTGTTTAAAATACTCCCTGAAATTCCTAAATGGAGTTGATTGCTTATTACTTTTGTGGACTCTACCACAAATTTTTCTATTAGTGCATGACTAAGAGTAGATAAATGCTTTATCTTTCTGTCTGTTCTACTAGACTGTTACTTCTTCCAAGAAGATACTGTGACATATTTACCTTCATATGTCTTGTGTGTAGTACACCACCTTACCTATGGAAGGTGTTCCAAATATTTATTGATTGCATGAAGGAGTATTTTATGGATTTGTCACATCTTTACGTTACAATAATACATTTATTATATCTGAGTTTAGCAATAGCTGGACAGTAAATTATAGAGAAGCAAAATTAATTGTTAAATATTAATGAACTAATGCTACAGCTCAAATCCTAATTGCAACCCTTTAAAAGCCCATTTGGTAGAGTCTTGGTCCCTTGCATGGTATTACTGGGAGGGAGCAGGCTCATGAAGATGTAGGGTTTAGTGGGAAGTTACTAAGTCATCTAGTGCATGTCCTTGAAGAAGATAATGCAACCACAGCCCCTTTCCTCTCTTTCTTTCTCAGCTGTGAGGTGAAGAGTTTACTCTTCTCCACACTCCCTCCCATTGCTATCTGAGTTTGCTGGGTCATGGATTGTCACCTTCAAAACTGTGAGATTATCTTATGTTTTTGTGTTAGTAATGGAAAACTGAGTAACACCAACAGTCTTTATTTGGCACATGTCTGTCAACCAATTCTCTTCTGTTTACCCCTGAGAGTTTCTCTTCCATCAGAGCTTCCAGCACACGTAATGATGCTACAGTGATGGACTGGGTAGCAAAGATCAGGTGGTGCTGGGCACTTCTGGAGGCAGAATCAAGGACACTTTCAAAATGTGTAGAGACATAGGATCTAAATCCCATTACGAATACCAGTATCAGAGTGGGTTAACTGATACTAATGACTTCTAGGTGTTACGTTCATGTGCTCATTGACGTACCCATCATATGCATTGTGTGTGATGCTGAGTAAGTTTCAGGGATTGGACTCAATGGCATCCTAAACAGACAATGTCATGTGAGAGCAGGTACTGATTTCCTGGAGTTTACACTCCAGGAAGAGAAAAAGCAAGCCCATAGTAACCCAAACAATCATTTGATTACACTAGTGATGCATTTATGTAGAAAACAACACAATATCTCAAATATATATATACCTAGCAAACTGAGTCTCTCCTTTTTTGCCTCTAAAAGCTTTTTAGGAAATTGGGATAAATATTTTATGCCAATAGCTCCAATGATAAAATTTCTACAAATCAAATTTTGTCACAGTTTGAAAATTCTAGTAATGAAAGAGGGAATGTTACAATTAATACCACAGAAATAAAAAAGGACTATAAGAGACTACTGTGAAAAATTCTACATCAAAATTTGGCTAACCTAGGAAAAATAGATAAATTTCTAAAAAATATAAAACTGATCAACTGAATTGTAAAAAAAAAACAAAAAGGAAAATATGAACAGATAAAAAGCTAGTATAAAGACTGAATTAGTCACCAAAAGTCTCCTAACAGAAAATCCCAGGAACAGATGGATTTACACGTGAATTCAAACAAGCATTTTAAAAAGAATTCAGGGTCATCCTTTTCAAAGTCTTCTATAAAACTGAAAAGGAGGAAATACTTCCAAATTCATTTATTTAGGTCAACATTACACTGATACCAAAGCTAGACAAACACACTGCAAGAAAACTACAGGCAAATATTCCTGCTGAACATGAATACAAAAATCTTCAGTAAAACTCTAGCAAAATGTGTCTAAGAGCCTATTAAAAGAATCATGGACCCTAACCAAATCTTACTCATTCCAGGTGTGCAGGATGATTCTGAATACATAAATTAATAAATGTGATTCATCACTTTAGCAGAGTAAATGACAAAACTCACATATACTATCACTGAATGCAAAAAAGGCCTCATTTGATAAAATTTAATAGCTTTTTAATATTAAAACTCTCACTAAACTTTTATAAAAAGAATTCATCTCAATAAAAGCTGTAAATCAAAGGCCCATACTAACATCATACTCTGTGATAAAAAATTGAAAGCTTTTCCTCTGAGATCGGAGGAAGACAGGCTATCTACTCATGCCACTTCTCTGTTCAACATAGTACTGAGAGTCTTAGCCAGATGAATTAGGCCAAAAGTGGGGGGTGCATCAGTTGGAATGGAAACAGTAAAAGAATTCATGTTTGTGTATGATATGATGTTTTATATATAGAAAACTATAAAGACTCTACAAAACTACTAAACTAAGAAATGAATCAGTAAAGTTACAGGATAGAAAATTAACATACAAAAGTCAGTTGATTGGTTGCATCTTGTTGTGTTTCTGTTTGGTATTTTGTTTTGTTTTTTGGGACAGTACGTAGTTCAGACTGCACTTGAACTCACTATGTAGGCTAGTCTGGTCTCAAACTCACAATGATGTGACAGTCAAACTCACAGCTATTCTTTTGTCCCAGACTCTCAATTGCAGTGATTACAGGTGTGCACCACCATGCCTGGCAATTGTGTTTTCATAGATCACAAAAATGAACTATCCAAAAAATAAATAAGGAAACAGTCTCATTTATACTAATATGAAACAAATTACTTCAGAATAAATTCAACCATGAAGGGTGAACATTTTACATACTAAAAATTACCAAAAAAAAATGATGAGAGAAATTATGGAAGAAACAAATAAATGGAACAACTTCATGTGTTCATGAACAGAAAAATAATATTGCTATAATATCCATATTAAACAAAGTAATCTTTGGAGTCAGCACACTATCAAATTCTCAATGGTATTTTTACATAGTTTTTAGAAAGGAAAACTACAATGCATATGGAACTACAAAAGACTATGAATAACCAACAGATTTTCTGCGAAAAAAATGGTGGACATGTGCTTAGCATGTGTGAGGCCCTGAATTCAATCCTCATGTCGTAAATAAGTAAATATCACAATGCTAAAGTAATCAGAACAGTATGGTACTAGGACAAAAAGCAGACACAAAGACCAAGAGGAACAACAGTAAACCCTGAAATAAATCCCCACATATATGGTCAATGAGACTTTGACAAGTCTTCCAAGAATACACAGTAGGGAAAAGATAGTTTCTTAAACAAACGACATCAAGAAAACTATATATCAGCATGAGAAAGATTAAATTTGGACCCTATCTACAACATTCACAAAAAATCAAATAAAAATGAAATAAGAACACCATAAAATAGAACTCCTAGAAGAAAACACACAGGAAAGGCTTGATTAAACTGATCCTGACAATGATTTATTAGATATGGCACCAAAAGCACAGACAACAAAAATAAAAATAGTTAAGTTGGACTGTGTCATACTTTCAAAAACTTTGGCATATCAAAGGAGACAATCAGTAGAGTGAAAAGAAAACCTACAAAATTGGAGAGAATATTTGCAAACCAAGTATCTGAAGAAGCTTAGTATACAAAAAAAAAAAGCACACCAAATAGCAAGAAAATAACCTGATTAAAAGTGGACAAGGCACTTAGATACATATTTCACCTAAAAATAGAAAATTTATAAATAAATGAGCGGTGACATAAGAAAAATTCTCCACATCATGAATCACCACAGAAATGCAAATCAAAACTTTGAGATTGCTGAAATGTGGAGAAACTGGAATCTCTATACACTGATGGTAGGACTCTAATACGGTAGAGGCACAGTGATAAATGACAAGGTGATTCTGTAAATAAATGAAAATAGATCTACCATATAATCCAGTGATCACACCTCTGAGTATATGTCCAAAAGAACTTAAAATGAGGAGCACTCCCCTGCTCAACGTGATATTATTCACACTAGTCATACCGTGAAAACAATCTAAGTGCCCATCGACAAATGAATGGACAAATAAAATGTTGTATAGACATAAACAGTGCACTTTCCAATCCTAAAAATTAAGAAAATCCTATCATATGCAACTACACAGAAGAACCTGCCAGACACTATGTATTAAAATAATCCAGTCATAAAAGCTCAAAAACTGTATGCTTCCACTTATATGACATATCTAAACTAGTCAACTCTACAGAAACAGGATGGAACAGTGATTACTGGGGACAGGCAAAAGTAAAAACAGGGAGTTACTGTTCCATAAATTTAAAAATTCATTTACACAAAATGAATGCATTCTGGAGATTTGCTGTACATCTTTGGGATTATAGTTAATTGTACATTAAAATTTTGTTAAGAGAGTAGCTACCCCATTAATTGTTCTTACCATAATAGAAAAAGAAATATTTGTAAACCCTGGTGAAATAATTAGGATTTTATCCAAACAATTTTGTAATTGAATTGAAGGAACACTTCAACATCTCTAATCATTTTAAATCATCCTGAATGTTTCCTCTGCAAAGTTGATGTGGTTTTTATGCTCATAAAAGCATATTTTAAATAAATATAGACATCCATAATTTTCCTGAATGGTACATGATATTATTTTTACCTGTGTATTCAAGATGAAAGCCTGCAGCAGAAACACTGATGTCAGATTGAAAATTTAAATATAAATTGTTAGATGTACTGTTCAAAAGATGGGGTATTGTTGTTCCTGAAATGATAATTAGAAGGGAGATCAATGACCACACAATAAACGCTACTGTAAAACTAAGCAAGTAAACTACTAATCAGCCATAGGTTACTGCTGAAATGAGGCATTGGTCAAAATGTTTCACAAGAATTTTATAACAAAGTATTTCCTCCACAATCCTTTTACATTTTGCCATTCCTATCCCTAAAGATACTGACCTTTGAGATGACTTTACATAGTTCCTTAAAAATAGGAATAATAAGTGCTGGTAAAAGTCAAAGCAATAAACTTCACTTGTCACCTCAAATAAATTTTGAATTTCATGTAGATTTCAATATTTCATGCATGAGCTAATATAATCCTAATTTTAAAAACTGCATGTGATTTTTTTTTGCATGTGATGTTTTAAGCATAATAACTTAAGACTTTTTATAGGTTTAGAGTATATGCAGTGTTTTATTTTTTATCAAGATCAATATATAGATAGATGATAGATAGATACCTAGCCTGACAGCAAAGCTGGTAGTTGGCTTACAAAATAACTCAGTTTTGAATTAATGTTAGCTTTGCCTCTCATCAGTGCTTTATAATAGAGTTCTTTTGAACTTGTGACGAAAATCAACTTTATTTCATCCAATTATTGAGTTTTGAAAATTTAAAATATTTTTTTGAACCAATTACTTCTTGACTAGGATACAAGAACCTTCAGACTCCAACACAAACAGTTTCAAATAACAAGCATAAGAATGACCATCACTGCTATGTTTTAAAATAAATCTCAATAAGCATAAGCCATGATAATGTTGTAAAGATCTCGCTGAAAGTCAGTAGTTATTTTGTACTGGCTTTGTACAAATTTGTTGACCTTACCCCAGATGACTTCTAGGAGAGAACAGCAAAACTTCATTACAGAACACACAATTATTTTTATTTTTGGTTTTGATTTTCTCTTTTCCTGGAGGCCCATTTGTGTCCTAACTGCAGTCACTGAAGGCGGAGGCAAACAGATGCTCTGAAGGTCACTCATTTGCCTTGAGTTTCTTAGCAAATCTGAGAGATTAAGAGCTCTGACTTTGGCATCACACCAACTGGATCCCAAACTCACTCTACCCTTAGGTCTGGGAAACTTCATTTTTCTAAACTTTGGTCACTCTAAGGATGGCTGGAAACACCACATGAGGACATGCATGACAAGACTCACACAGAGCTAGCTGTTTTGTTCTTCAGTCACTTTTATCATTCTTTTTTTTTTACTTAAATTATTTTATTGGTACATTTTAGGTATACAACACAATTACATTTCTCATTGGGAACTTGTACCTTTACATGAAG